CTAGTCTAGAACTCCTCGTTCTCTTAAAATCAACCAATTATCAAACCAAGAACAACAACGCAGCTGTACAGCAATCCTGACTTTTCGACTTCACAAGAGCTGAATTGAAGGAAAAAAAGTCTGAGAATCGAGAAAAAGAAAAGTCATTAAACTAATTACTGGTTAAGCACACAAAACACACAAATACACATAACACATGCATATTTGCAACACAAGCACACATCATCACGCATGTTGACAGGGAAACGAACACGGCACACAGAAACAGCGAAAACAACTTTCAGTGGCCAAGCCACACAAGCGGACGTCCGAACGCATACGCATACGCTTTGCTGCTGGTATGAAGTAGCGGCACCGACAACGGAAGAAAAATTTTCAACCAACATCGAGCCAAAAAAATTCTTTTCCTCTTAGTCATCATCAGACAGAGATAACTGTGGCGGGTTTGATTTTCGTTCCAAGATTTATGTATTTGAATTCGAACCTCACAATATTTTAATGCAACCCAATAATATAGCTGGCTATTCTTGGGTGTCGTTTCTGTATAATCTATGCGCACCGAAATTGAGGTGCATGGACTAACCCAGCAAATTTTTTTATCCACATATACAATAACGTCACTAAGACATAATTCTTTGTTCAAATTTAATACGTTATTGGTCAAAGTAGGTATCAAAAAGATTGATGGTTCACTGTTGACAATTCAATTACGTGGGTGTTAACGATTTTTGATTGCAGAATTCACTGAACTGGTACAGTGATCCGCGGAGAGAGCCTTAATTCTCGAAAATTCTCTGTTAAAAAGTAACATAATCGCATTAATGTTAGGTGCTTAAAATCTCGACAAAAAAACCACTGGTGTGCAGATTCGACAAGTAGAGCAAGAGTGGTTGACCTTTTTCAACTGAACAGTTTCATATTCTCTCCCAAGATTTTAGAAACCTGCATCTAGGCATTAATGAACAGATTTTTCATGTGCTAGTTACAGTTCTCAAAATTATTCGTTAGTTTCTGTAAAGCTCGCTTATCAAGTGTCTTCGCAGTTGGTTTACGGAAAGACAACAGACTGTAGTAAATAGCATTAGCTGTTGATCAATCTTACCAATTTTCTTAAAATCGTTACATCTTCCTGACGTGAGATGTAGCTTTGGCATTTAGATTAAAAGTTAGCCGAAGCCTAATCAAATCCCCACCTAAATGATTTTCTATTGAAGTATATAATTCATTTCTTACCATATGATACAAATTGGTCGAGAAATAAGTCAAGTTCATGGTAGTCAAAAAGTATTTCCTTAGATTATAATTAATTAATTACTTTGCTCCTAATTCAACCTGTGAAGCAGGAACCTTCCCAACTTTCTCATTCCAACTTAAAAAGCATACTATAGAAGGACAGGAGGCACACTTCCACAAACCACTTTCAAAAGTGAAAAAAAAAAAAAACAAATCGGTAAGTATCAGCAGACTGTTACTTGATGAAACAATGTAATTCACAAGTTGACAGTCACCAGACAACTTTAGCGTAAAATATAAGTAATCGATTAACATACACCTGACATTATTTCCAGAAATCATTGCTTACTTTTGAACACAATTACCACTTTGAAAACTCCGTTGACAGTTTTTTTTTTCCAAATCTATGCAATTTGAGTAACCTTCGCTTATTTCATTCGAAGTTACATACTGTTCACACTAGCTAGTGCTAACTTCTTTCCACATATGTATTCTGTTGCTAATGTTGAGTATTCATGAGTCAAAACTCTGCCTGTAAGGCAGCAAAAAAATTTATTGAATTTTTGTGAACAAAGTTGCAGAACTTTAGAAATTAATGCTAGTTTTTTTTTTT